ATCGTCCGCAATTAGATCTTTGTCATTACAAAATCATAATTTCGCTTTTTTTTAAAAAAACAAAGCAGCCCCCATTAGACTGTCGCTTATTGGTTGCCACCCAGGGAGGAGGACTGCACCTTTTGTTATCCCTTGTCACTGTGTGATGGGGACATGCCTTTTAGGGAACTGCAAGCACGTTGAAGGATGCAAGCATTTGGTAAGATCCTTCCCCCCCTCTTCTCTAGAGGATGGAGGGCTATTGGTATCTTCCCTTAAAGGGACATGTCTGCATTTTTTCCCTGCTGGGAAGTGTGTGGACACGCTCCTTGACTATGTGGTGTCTCTCTCATACTAGCCACTGCAAGACATGCAGTTCAGAAGCTATGGCAGCCACCTGAGGCCCCATCTTCTTGATCCCAAATCAATGTGGGAGCAAAGGCACCACTTGCACATACATGTTTAGTGCCCCTGGACTTCATAGCACAAGACGGTCAGGTGTCAATCTTCCTATAAAACTCTCACATGGACTGGGCCAGGGATCAGTGTTCATTGCACACACCCACAACTCACACCCATTAACATTCAGACACACTCACACGCATTAACATTCTCAAGCACCTGCCTAGGAAAAACAGTGGAAGGGCCCTGCACCGAGGTCCCAGTATGGACAGTCTAGTACAGAGTACAGGGTGCCCACTTTTATTGTGTGGAAGTAACATCTTACTCTTTAGATTTTTTTTTAACTTTTTTTTTGCCGTAAGATGAAGCCTGTCTGATTAACTCAGTCAGCATTTATTTTGTGTGGTATGTTAATTTGGCCGTTAGGCTCGCAATAGTAGCTATCAGACAGTATCAGTGCATTGATGGCATTAAGGGAGTAATTCCCTAATCTAGTTAAGCCACACTCTGTCCCTCCACATTTGCCACTGTACTGTTCGAGTCTATTGATGGGGAGAGTTAGGTAGCAAATGCTGAAAAGGGGTTCATGTTGCAGCAGTCACTTCATAATCTATCTGTATGCAGGTGTTTAAGAGATCACACTCGATGAAGAGAGATTAAAAAGACTGGGATTTTCAGTTTAGAAAAGGGGAGACTAAGGGGGGATAGGACAGAGGTCTATACAATCATGACAGATATGGAGAAACAAATAAGGAAAAGTTATTTTCTTGTTCCCATAACATAAGAACTAGGGGTCACCAAAAGAAATCAATAGGCAGCAGGTTTAAAACAAACAAAAGGAAGTTTTTCTTCACTCAGCGCACAGTCAACCTGAGGAACTCCTCGCCAGAAGATGTGGTGAAGACTAGGACTTTAACAGGGTTAAAAAAAGAATTAGATAAATTCATGGAGGTTAGGCCCATTGGTGGCTGTTAGCCAGGACGGGCAGGGATGGTGCCCCTGGCCTGTTTGTCAAAGGCTGGGAATGGGTGATGGGAGAGGGATCACTTCATGGTTCTCTGTTCTGTTCCCTCCCTCTGGGGCCCCTGGCACTGGCTACTGTTGGCTGCCAGGACACTGAGCTGGATGGACCTTTAATCTGAGCCAGTCTGGGCATTTTTATCTTCTTACGTTATTTTAAGGGTACATTTATAAATGGTTTGTACAATTGCACCTACCACCAATGAACTCAGCAGCCATCCACCTACTCATCACATTGAAATGTGTTTGCAGCATCTATCAGTAAAGTATTGACCCGATATAAACGATAACGACACCCTTGCCATAAAGTATAAGCAAGCATTCTGAGCTTTAACTTCAATGGGACGGAGGGCTGGGCGGGAGTTTGCAACTGTAAGTTAGTCTACTGGTACCAGTAATAAGGAAATACTGTAAATCTTCAGCTAGTGCCCTTTTCAGCACTGCAGGTTCCCAGAGTGAGACTGTATTGACATCTAGTGGCCAAGTGGATTACAGGCAGGCCCTTCAATTGCAAAAGGGGAAGATCTTAAATTGCCAATCTCCTAGAACTGGAAGGGACCTTGAAAGGTCATCAAGTCCAGTCCCCTGCCCTCACAGCAGGACCAAGTACCACCCTGATGAATTTTTGCCCCAAATGGCCTCCACAAGGATTAGACTCACCACCCTGGGTTTAGCAGGCAAATGCTCAAACCACTGAGCTATCCCTCCCTTGAGTCAACTCTTTGTGTTTAATTGTAGCTGTTTGTGGATATTTAAAGTCTTTCAGACTAGCTACTGGGATGGGAGGAGGGATCAAAGCTCATGTGACTAACCCAGGCCAGAAGGGCTTGAGTGGGAGCCGGTGACACCAGGAGGAAGCCTGGGGAACTGTAGCTGGCTCAAAGAAGCAGCTGCAGGTGAGTGAACGGTGCATGGAGCGAGACTGGCTCTTGCAGGGACGGGCTGTGGGGTTACAACCCCCTCTGGGAAGGAAAATTGAGGGCTCCTGAGTCAAATGAGTCATTGCTCTGTGAATTGAACACATGGTTCTGCTCCTCCCGGTACCTGGCGTCTGTCTCTTGGCCACCCTGCAAGTCTTGCTGCCGTGGCTGCATGGCCTTCTCCGTCTCCCCGTGAAGTTCCACCAGCTTCACTGTTGGAGCGGAACTAGTGCAACGCGTGAATGGAGTCCATATCCACCCCCCAGCTCGCTGATGCTGGGTGTATCCGCCCTGCTCAGAGCATCAGCTAACAGCAGGAACTGGCCTGGACTATCTGATCTCTGCCTGCTCTCCCTGGAGCACATCGCTCTGTGCTGCAGTCCCTTTGGCTCACGAAGGGGCTCGTGGGGTCTGTGGTCGTACGGCGCTGTGACTTGGTGCCCGAGGCATGCGGATGGAGCAGCTTCCCCCCAGAGTCGTAGGCAGAAGCTCTTTCTCTGTGTGTGCACGACCCTCTTCATCTCTGCCACGGTTCTGCTGGCGCCAGGGATCCTGCAGAAGAGCCCCACCCTGCCCGGGAATACCATGGAATGATCAAAACCCGGATATTTGGATTGACCCAAACACTTTTTCATCTTTTCACTTCGGGACCATTTTTGTGATATTGACGTTTTGTTGCAATTCAGAACTTTAAAGCCACTTTTCCGTGCAGCTGGGACGGG